CTCCGGGGCAGGCGGGAATTGAACTCATGCGGAAGTGGCTTCAGATTCTCAGTGCTGTGCTTTAACCCGCTGCGCCACCAGGGAGGGCCAGAGGGAAGACTTTTATCCAACAAAGTGTGTAGAACGGGAATCAAGTTGAATGAGGACCACATTGCAGGGAATGAAGCAGATAGAATCTGTGTCTTGAAGTAATGAAGCCCAGAGTCAGATTTCAAACTCTGCTGATGTTTAGTTGGATGATGGTTGATCAGTTACTAAATGTCTCAGGGCCTCAAAGTCTTCACTTGTCAAAATGATTAATAATATAATACCTACATCTTAGGTTGGGTATAAGGATTTACTTATGTTTGTAAATTATAAACACCTCAGTGTATATTTGAATGTGGTGCTTTATTTATACTGAGTGAATTTTTTTTGAAGTAATGGTTCTTCCTATTGTTGACAGAGACATAAAGCTGACTCATTCCATTTGTTTACTTACTCATCCTTGAATGCAGATTTCTTGACATTCCTTTTCACTATTGAATCTGTTTCCTGAGCCATTACAGCCACTGAACCAAAAGCGGGCACAAGAGTTGACCTGTCTGTCATAATACCATCGGACCACATATTCACCACAGTCTCCAGGCTTCAGGGCTTCCAAACATCTAGGATCTAGTGTGAAAAAATGACATTGTGTTTTTATAGGTTTCTCTTTCACTGAAAAAATGAAAAGTGAAAGTTTTCTGAATGTATTCCCTAAGCACACTCAGATCCTAAGAAAATATAGTTCTAAATATAAGAAGGGTTGCCTGACCCACAGAATATTTCCTCCATCACTGGAAACTCTATTAGATTTTCATTCCTTTGAAAAAATGAAAATTTTTGATCTTCATAAGCCCCACTTGAAATGCATATTTTCCTAAAAGTGGTACTGTGTCTTCATGTCTTCATTGACTAATACTCTTAAAGGGATTAGTCGACAGGAGAAAGGACTTCTTTATTTACTTTGGATTTGATTTAAAATCAAAGTGATATTTGGAATGAAGATGATTTTGGCTTTCTGTACACATTCCTTTCCAGCTTGCTCATAGAAAGCATCACATGATCACATTTAATTGTGCTTACTAAAAAAAAGGAAAATCCTTTCAAGTTACAAAGTAAAATGAAAGACTGTCTTTATAGCATAATTTTCTTCTTTAAAAAGCAGCTCTTGCAATATAAACATGACCTTCTAGTGTCAGTTTAGAAATAAATTTCAGAAACACATCCACTGTAAAAAAAAAAAAAAAAAAAAAAGAAGAAGAAAGCACAGGAGAATCAGAGCAATAAAACAATTCATTAAACTCCCTTTTTATTTCACAGTTCTCCTTTAGTATCTTATTCGGATTTCCTCTGTAAGGACATTATTCTGAGGTAGATGAAGTCACACACACACACACACACAAACCAAATAGGTATTTAATGGCTGAGACTTAGGTTCTGTGAGATGGCTTATATTTCATAACTTCATTTCTCAGTAGCAAAATCGGCCCTCTCTCTAGTTCCCAAAATCATTTCCACAGATTTGTAGTCTATCTCGATTCATTTACTTGCGAAACTTCTAATTATCCCTATTCCAGGAAGACTCCTTAAACCAAACAGAAAGGCATTGAATTAGCACAACTTCTACTCTTAAAAATAATAATTAAATAATATGTATTGTGTAATTTGTTTTCAAGACAATTAAAACTTTTAGGGAAGGATGTTATTCCGTTTGCCTGTTCTTCAAAAACTATGTATGCAGTGATTAATTTTTTTTAAAGATTTATTTATTTACTCATATTGAACTGGGGTACAGGCCAGAGATACAGAGGGTGATAGGATTCAGCAGAGACAGAGCGGGGAGCAGAACAGGCCGACTGAGAAGTACACTGCTGAGGGGAGCAGCAGGCGGGCCAGGAGAGGTCCGCCACGCCATGTGGTCACCTCTGGAGTAGGTGGGGATCGAACTCATGTGGAAGTGGCTCAAGCTTCTTAGTGCTGTGTTTTAACCCACTGCACCACCAGGGAGGGCCTGCAGTGATTAATTTTTATAGATATTAACTTCAATGAAAGTATGCCGATGAATCCCAATCTAGATTTGAATTTTTTTTCTCCTCTGTAAAGTCAAATGCCTACATTTGTGACGGCACATGTAGCAGTAGGGAGTGGTAGAGACTGTGGTAAACCCGAGAGTACAATCCTCTCTGAAGGCTTTCAAGTTAATAAAAAGCACACATATAAGCTTTAAAAAATTTAATTGACCAAATTTGATCTACAACCATCTAGTTTTGCAATTTTATGCATGATGGAGTAGAAAAATGTATTATGTCTTGCCTTAATTGGAGTCATAATTTGTTGTCCTTGGAAGAGGTTTTAGAGGCCATCTTTCTTTGGCCTCCCTCACATCGTAGGTGCAGCAGCTGATTGACAGTATCTCTTACCTTTGTGCATCAACTTTTCCTGCTGTAAAATCCAAATGGGACTTGGAGTTCTTATTTCCAGGATCTCTGTCCCATGTTCAGGGGGCCTGAGTAATGGCCTCTGGGTGGTCATAGCCTCAGATGAGGGAGAAGTATCCAGGCTTCCAGCCCCAGTAGGTATTGGAGGCTTGTTCTTTTCATCTTGGATTCTGGGGACAGCCTATATGTAAAAAAAAAAAAAATCCACATTTGCAAATAAACAAACAAAAACTAGTTAGCTTTTAGTAGTATTTAAGAAAAAGATTAACAGCATTGCTTTCTCCTAACTTTCTAATATGCATTATTTTTTTAAGATTTATTTATGCATACAGAATTGGGGTGCAGGCCAGAGGTGCAGGGGTGGTGAGAGACAGAGTGGGGAGCAGAACAGGCAGATTGAAGAACTACACTGCTGAAGGGAGCAACAGGCGTGTCAGGAGAGGTCTGCTGAGCCATGTCAGTCACCTCTGGGCGGGGGTCAAACTCATCCTGAAGTGGCTTTAGCTTCTTACTGCTGTGCTTTAACCTGCTGCCACCAGGGAGGGCCCCAATATGAATTATTTTAATAAAATCTCAGGAAATAATGCTCCTCCATCATGTGTCCCTGAATACCTAAATTGTGAATTTTCATGCACACACACACACACACACACAGACACATATCTTCCCTCAGCAGGCAAGTGGTAGGTGTTCTGGAGAGATGCACATATGGTTGTGAAAGATGTGAAGTTGGGAATTATTTATCTTTATTTATTTTTTATTAATCCCTAATATAAGTAGGAAAAATGATCACTGATTTCTTTAACCATTTCCCCCACCCCCTCACTGGCCTTTACTGCTTCATTTCCTAAGATTAGAGAATTTAATATATTTTAACAATCTACCACACACCCAACAAACTTCGAGATTGGGAGTTAGGGTGGTGGACTAAATAATACAGATAAAATAAAAACAATTAACAAGCACTTTCATGTCATTTGATTGTTTATCAAATCTCAGCTGAAAACACCATTATCTGCTCTTCTATCAGCCAGACCCCACTCATGCCAAACAGTACAGGGTGCTTTCCTTCTACAAAATGCTCGCCATCCTAAAAAACAAAAAAATATGATTTCAAAAGTAAATTATCTGGACTAAAATTCCACATTTCGCTTAAATTTATGATATATGATGAAATAAGGAAGGGACGGTTTTGCTGAAAAGGCCATGTTAGCAGCTAGACCCATCTTGCATAGAACAATTAAGTTCACTTTACCTTTGGATCCAGCTTCATGGCACTGAGTTAATCATCTCAGGCCAGGCTTAGTATGTTAACTTATCCTTACAAGTTCCTCTCCTGTTTATTTGCTTTTGGTTTACTTAGTTGAGTAGGCAAATCAGTGAACCTGAAAGAGTTATTTTTTATGTTTTACCCAAGATTTCTCTTCCTGTGACTGAGCTGACTGACCAGCTCTAATGTCACCAGTAACTGCTCTGTGCTTTGTAGTCTGTTCTCTCTGTGATGATGCACACCCACACCCACACCACCAATGGGAAAGGTATTTTTACAGATTAAAGTGTTTTACCAGTCAAATCACAGCGATAATGTCTACTGAGACTGAGATGTTTGAATGGCACTCCAAATATAGTAGTGATTTTTCACTAGCCACCAAACACAACTTTTGGTATAAAGGGAAGTAAAGCCTTGTGTCTCTTGAGGTTGCTTGTCCTTCAGAATGATTTTGGGTTCATGTGACAAATTTTGTGTAAAACTTCATGTGAAGTTTTGTTGTAATAGGATTAGAGAATTTTAAGCCTATGGGAAATTTCTCATTACCTCACTCCTATGTCGGTAGTGGGGGGTGGTGTTGTAGATGGGAAGGGGACCCCAAACCAAGTGATTAAGGAACATCCCTAAGATACTGGTTAGCCAGTGGCTAAATCTGCCAGTTTTAGAAAAGAAATACTTTTGTTGTTTTTCTACTTGCTTATATTTCATTTTAAGCAAAAATAAGTTAAACGTTTGAGGAGCAGTTTATCCAACATAAAAATCAGTGGACATTATATTACATCTCAGATACACTGTCAGGTGAGCGTTACAATGGCAGCACAGATTTCTTAAATTAACTCTAAGTCTTAAGGCCTCATAAATTATTTACCTCTTGTAATTTTAGTATATTTCTAGTAATTTTAGTATCCAATCATATAATCGTTTGGAAATTTTTTTTTTTAAAGATTTATTTATTTGTACATACAGAACTGGGGTACAGGCCAGAGGCTCAGAGGCAGTGAGAGACTTCACCAGAGACAGAGCGGGGAGCAGAACAGGCAGATCAACGAAGTACACTGCTGAGGGGAGCAGTGGGCGGGCCAGGAGAGGTCTGCCACGCCATGTGGTCTCCTCCGGGGGCAGGCGGGGATCGAACTCATGCGGAAGTGGCTCCAGCTTCTCAGTGCAGTACTTTAACCCGCTGCGCCACCAGGGAGGGCCTCGTTTGGAAATTTTAACTACTATTCATTATACCTCATGTCCTAGAACAAATAAATTAATTTTCATAGGTGGAAAATATTTTATCTTTGTTTCCACAAGATTTCAGAATAAAGAAATGTATCATTGTTATAGGTTTACCACTTTAAGATTTTCTTCTTTATTACAAAAACAAACATGTTCATTGATGGGGACTTAGAAAATCTGGACAAACAACATGAAGAAATGGAAATTGTAAGTGATTCTACCTCCCAAAATAATTGTTACTGATATTCAAGATTCAAGATTTAGGGTATTTTTCATACTTTCTTTATATACAAATAGTTAAACATTTTTTTCATAAAAAATCTCTATTTTTAAATTTAATATATTGTGGTTGTTTCATGTGTTTTCCTGTGAATCTGTAACACTATTTTAGATACAGATTAACAAACAGTATACTTTTTTGAACACCTAATTTATTTTCTTTTTTTCTGTTAGAAATCACACATGTTTCTAAGCCTAAGTCCTTTCCAAAGTAAGTTCTACCAGTTTGTACTCTTGTGTCATTTCTTATTACCTATCTTCATTTATAAGGTTTATGATTTTAAAAAGAGGTATTAACAGTTTTATAGGTGAAACATTCTTCAGCTGATCTCCTTCACTGCATAACCTGTCTCCCATACACATTTATCACCTTGCCTTTCACTCACCCAGCACATCTTGCTATGACTTTTCCTTTCTCCACTTCATTCTGCCTCAGGCTCTGTCACCATGATCCAGGAGTTGGCACCCATTGGCTAAACCTTCCCCAGTAACCTTGACAGTGCTAACTCTTCCAGAAGATCCACAGTACCTTCCAAAGTTTCTATTTTTGGCCCTCATCAAACAGAAGTTAGCCTTTAATCCTATAGTATCTTGCATCACTTCTCATTTTACATGTGTAAATGTCATCGGATTCCTAATAAGAGAAATTAATTATGCCAAAGTTTTCCTTCCGTCTTTCCAAGAAGTGCTTAGAGCATTTAACAAATAGTAGCCACTGGATAAGTTAAGAATAGGTTAGAGGTTTTCTGTTATATCATCTTCATGTTGAATTAATAAGGATATGCACAACCAGAGACAGAAAGGAATTTGCTTTGGATGAATTTTTCAGAACCCCATAACACTTTAGTGGCATCATTTAAAATTTTTAAAAGTTTAGACCCTAGCATACTTTACAATTCAAAAAGTGATATGGAATCCAAGCAACCCAAACTTTATTGCCCTAAAATACACCAAACTTTCAAACATAGTTACCTCTGAAGAATAGATGAGGAGAAGGAAACTGTGGAGAGAAACAAGGGATAATGTTATCTGAAGTGAGAATGAAGACACTTCTACTATACCTGCCACACTGGCCTACCCTGGAGGAGACAAACTGTGTGAGCTCTGAGCAAGAGCTCACCACAGTCCAAGGAAATAAAAGAGGAGACTAAGGCTGGAGGTGGAGTGGGGTGGGTGGGCAAAATCTGGAGAGCAGGCTGCTCTGTGCAGTCAAGGAGTAGATCATTTTCTTTCAGTTCAGACTGCAGCTTAAAAAATATATATATATTCATTACATAATCCTTCATCTTTGTACGATTTATGGTTTCCCTGTGGAATTCCCACCCTCAATTCCTCCTTGTACCATAGTCCCTTGTGCTCTCCCACTCCCATCCTGATCCTTCTTCCTCCTCCTCCTCTACAGAATGTCTCTGATCTATAGTTTCCTGATGATTTTAATTTTTACTTTATTATAGTTTTTTCCCCTGATTCCTTATTTGTTGTCTCTACATTCCTCCTATAAGTGAGACCATTTGATATGTTTTCTTTTTCTTTCTGACTTATTTCACTGAACATAACCTCTTCCAGCTCCATCCATGTTGCTGCAAAGGGCATGAGTTTACCCTTCTTGATTCCTCTGTAATATTCCATTGTGTAGCTTTTTAAGGGAAAAAAAAATAGATTGAGAGAAGCATCTCATAACATGAGTGATGAGGTAAGGGAGAATACTAACCAATTACCACCCAACTTCAAAAGTCATTTGGTTTCTCATTTCTAATCACTTTTCTCATAATCCATTACCTAGAATCTTCCATATATTATACAAACTCTTCATATCTAAGCTCATATCTTTTCTGGATGAATGGTAATGATCATCTGATTAACCCATGTGTCAAGACAGCTTGCGTGGGTCCCAGCAGTATGGGTCCAAATTCTCCCAGCAGTGTGGATCCAAATTCTCCCAGTTGGCTGTGGGATTCTGTTCTTGCCAACTGGCTCCTTAGCTAGTGCCAGACTTTTCAGAAGCCCTGCCCTGACTGACTCACCCAGGTAATCACTCTTCCTTGCCAGGTCTCTCAGCACTTAAGCACTTAAATTGAATGTTCCGTGTTTAAAATGAAGGCTGCTGAGGACCTTCAGGAACACCTTGAACTTGGGCAGTACTTCTCCTGAATGCCTGCAGTTTTCCCAGAATGTGGACTGTAGAATTTTATTCTGTCTAAAACTTGTCATACATTTTTCTTTTTTAAAAGATTTATTTATTTATGCACACAGAACTGGGGTACAGACCAGAGGTGCAGAGGCAGTGAGAGGATTCACCAGAGACAGTGTGGGATGCACAACAGGCAGAATGGCAAAGTACACTGCTGAGAGGAGCAGCAGATGAGACAGGAGAGGTCTGCTGTTCCGTGTGGGTCACCTCTGGTCAC